TAACAACAACAACAACATTGTAGCAATGTTAAACTCCCCAAATTTAATAAGTACACAGAACATCTTTAATCTTTAAGGGCCATGATTGCTATAATTTAATCTCAAATGGTTTCATATACTATAATAACAAAATACTTAGTTGCAGTAGTACTAACAGCAGTAACAATAGAAGAGATAAACCAAATATAGCAAAATGCTATTCTTCAGCAAATCTAGGTAAAACATAATGTATAAGAGTTGACCATAATAATCTTACAATTTGACAGTAGGTTTTAAAAAATTTTAAAACAAGTTTAAAAATCCAAAAGAATTTCATTTTTATTTTCCTATGCATTAAGATAAAAGCTGATTCATCGATGCATATTTTTTTAAAAAAATAATATAAGAAAAAAAGGAAGACTTTTACTTTTATATAGTGAAAAGGCCTATAGATAACAAAAAACCCAAACCCGCTGCTCCGAGTCTATTCCACCTGATGTTGTTGTTGTTAAGTGCCTTCGAGTCGGTTCCGACGACCCATAGCGACCCTGTACAGGGTTTCCGAGGGTGTAAATCCTTACGGGAGTAGAAAGCCTCATCTTTCTCCCGCGGAGCGGCTGGTAGTTTTGAACCACTGACCTTAAGGTTCGCAGCCCGATTCGTAACCACTACGCTACCAGAGCTCCTTATTAGAACTGCTTCACCGGGTTTCCAAGAATGTAAATCTCTATGGCATGCTTTATGGAAGCCACACCTTTCTCTCAGGGAGTGGCAGGTAGGTTCAAACTATTGACCTTTGGGTTAGAAGTTGAGCACTTTAACCACCACGCTATAAAATTTGAATGTGCCTCACTCTACCTCACTCCTGAGTCTCCTAATATGGCAGCCTCACCTAGAGTGTCAATATACTTGAGGACAGGAAATGGTCAATTTTACACCAAACCGTACATCTGCCATTTCTCATACTGATACTTCAGTAATAGATAAGTGATGCAGATTTGTATCTGTGTAGTCTTACCAGCTCTACCCACTGCCTAGGCAGGGAGTTAGTAGAGGCTCCTTTCTCCTGATGACCTTTCTGATCTGACGGCTTAAACCATCACCCAAGTCTACTCTACCACTCAGAGTACGAACAAGAGGAGAAGAGTTCATAGAAAATCATGAGCGTTATCATGGTGTCAGTATGTGCTAAGCATGAGCCATGACCTTCCTGGTCTCCTGAAAATCTTCTAAGGTAGAGAGGAGAATTCTGAAAAGTGTGTTGTTAGAGACCATCAAGTTGGTTCATACTGACAGTGACTCTAAGTACAACAAAAGAACGAAAAGCTGTCTGGTCGTGCATCATCCTCACAATCGTTGGTCTGCTGGAGCCCATTGTGGTAGCCACTGTGTCCATCTATCTCCTCACTGAGCATCTTCCTCGTTTGCCACTGACCCTCTACTTTACCAAACAAGAGGTGCTTCTCCAGGCACTGGTCTCTCCAGATAACATGTCCAAAGTCTGTGAGACGAAGTCTTACCATCCTCACTTCTAAGGAACATTCTGGCTGCAGTTCTTCTGAGACACATTTGTTCATTTTTCTGACAGTTCACAGATATCCAGTATTCTTTGACAGCACCACAATTCAAAGTCACCAATTCTTCCTTGGTTTTCTTTATTCATTATCCAGCTTTTTCATGTAGATGAGGCGACTGAATTTACCATGGATTGGGTCAGGTGTGCCTTGGTCCTCAAAGTGACATCATTGCTCTTTAGCACTTCGTTGTTGTTGTTGTGAAGTGCCATTAAGTCGGTTCTGACCCATAGCGACCCTGTATAGGGTTTCTGAAGAGTGTCTGGTGAGCTTGAACCACCACCAGCCTTGTGGTCCAAACCGACTTTGCAGTTCAGTATATTAACTCACAGCACCCCACCAGGACTCCCTTAGCACTTTAAAGAGGTCTTTTACAGCAGATTTACCCCGGCAATAATACACTGTTTAATTTCTAGACTGCTACTTCCATAGCATTGATTGTGGATCCAAGTAAACCAAATTCTTGACAAATGGTAAGTATAGAGTGGGAAGTGGAATTATGAAATCTAAAGGTTTCTCAAATGCTGCCTACAACTTAACTTAGTCATCAGTAATTATAAGTGTACCAAATGTACTGTGGCAGACTGAATTTTCAAGATGCCACACCATTCATTCTATCCATTCCACTTATGCTCCCTACAACCTAACAGTCCTCCAAGGGGTGATAGCCTATGTTTCCTCCCCTTGATCTGGGGCTGGCTTACACAGTAGAAGTGACATTATGTGACTTCTGAGGCTGTCACAAAAGGCATTACAGCTTCCACCTGGTCCTCTCAGAATGCCTATCATCACACCAATAACTACATGGTAGGGCCATGGGTAGGTGGTGTGGCCACAGCTGAGTTCACAGCCAACAGCCAGCATTATGCTATACACATGAGTAAGAAAACCTTCATATGACTCTTAGCGTTTGCCTTCAGTAGTGCCAGCTGACAATGAGTGGAAAAAAGAGAAGTTCTACAGAGCTTCGCCCAAATTGCAGATTCGTGTGCAGAAGAAATACTGTCACTGGTTTAAGGCACTATGTTTTGGAGTGGTTTCTTACAGAGCAACAGATAACCAGAACAAAAATCAAAACAAAGCCAATACGTTTGTTTCAGGCCTTCATATCTTTGAATTCATCCCTCAAGTAAAGTTTCCAGGGCTCATTCTTTTTCATTCAATACATGTCCAGTCTAAACATTTCTGTTGAAGCTCTGCCTTTTGTCATAAATATCTAAAGACAACTCAAACTTTGTTGTAGCTGTTAGCTGTTGCCAAGGTGGCTATGACTCATGGTGACCCTACATACAAAAGAACTAAATGTTGCCTGATCCTACACCATCTTCACCATCATTACAAGTCCCCTGTTGTCACCATGGGTATTTTGAGTGTCTTCCAACTCAGGGGCATCTTCCAGCATGATCATCCAGTAATACTATGTTCTAAGCCATGTATGTTTCACAGGCTAATTTCAAAGGACACTCCAGACAGAGGAGCAGCACATGCAAGGTACAGAAGCCTATGGAAGTCTGGCTGCTTGGGAAGAACCCTAGCATAGTGAAGTGTGAATGATGGGTTAGAAAGGAAGAGGAGAAATCGTGCTGTAGAAGCAGATGGAAGCAGAGGCAAGAGACAGGCCTAGATGCCCAATGCTCTGCCTGCTCCTGGTCACAGTCCTTTTGGTAGTCCAGATATCTTTGTTACCCATGGGTACTGTAGAAAATCGAACAGTTGGTCTCAGTTCCTCAGCCCTCTACTACCACTTTTTATTAGTTATCCTGCAGTCAATTCTGATTCACGGTAACTCTGCATGCGTCAGTGTAGAGCTGTGCTCCGTGGGATTGTCAGTGGCTGATTTTTCAGCAATAGATTACCAGGACTTTCTTTTAAGACACCTCTGGGTGAGTTCAAAGCACCAACTCTTTGGTTAGCAGCCAAGTGCACTGACCATTTGTACCACCTATGGGCACCTCGTGTGCTGCAGGATAAGCACGGGATTACTAACTGCAAGATCAGCAGTTCACACCCACCAGCTGCTCCTGGAATCCCTATACAGGGTTGCTATGAGTAGGGAACAACTCATTGGTACTTAAACCATAACAAAGTACATCTATTATACTATGTTGTTGTTGCTGTTACATGCCACTGAGTTGGTTGCAACTCATAGTGACTTTGTATAGGGTTTCTGAGGAGCAGCTGCTGATTTTGAACCACTGATCTTATGATTCAAACCAACCTTGTGGTCCAGTGCTTTATCCCACAGCATCACACCAGGACCCCTGGTACATATATACATACTATTATATACTAATATAATACATATATTGGGAGTGCAGTGGCTTTGTAGGATAAACCCTGGACTGTGAATCACAAGGTAGGCAGTTTGAGCCTATCAGTTGCTCTGTCAGAGAAAGATGAGGCTTTCTGCTCTTGTAAAGATTTACTGCCTTGAAACCCTACAGAGGGTCGCTAAGAGTTGGAACTGACTCAACATCACTAACAACATTTATATAAATATATACACACATTTATATATATATCATATATGGAGGTGGTGTGGTACTGTAGGATAAGCACTTGACTGCAAGGTCAGCAGTTCAAACCCACCAGCCACTACTCGCAAACCCTATACAGGGTTTCTATGAGTCAGAACCGACTCGAAGGCACTTAAAAACAACAACGTATCATATATGGTGGTGTTGGCTGTGTACCATGGAGTCGGTTCCGACTCACAGCAACCCGGTTTCTGAGGCTGTAAATCTTTACAGGAGCAGAAAGCCTCATCTTTGTCCCAACATAGCATATATACTATATATTATCTATCCACAGCTTTGTAAGGTCTCTTGATAGGAGGAGTGTCTTCCCAGTCCCTTAACTTTGGTTTGGCTGTGAGACTTCTTTTGCTATAAGATGTTAGAAAATGTGATGTGAGAAGAGACTTGAAATATGTTTGTGTGGCTTTTCTGGCTGTCATGAAAAGCATATGTCTTGGTAGCTGCTAATATCAGAATGATGACGGAATACATAGAGAAAACCTGAATCCAATCTACAGATTGGAACAAAGCCCAGCTGAGCCCCGTTTAAAATCAGCTGAGCTCCTGCCAACCCACAGATGTGTGAACAAGAAATAAATGCTTGTTGTGATCTTCTTACTCTTATGAGTAGTCTGGGAGGCTTTTCTCTAGCTGACTTTGGAAATTGATGAGGAATACAAATACCACAAGACAACCAGTTCTTCGTTTTCAGTTCAAGTTAGCTTGAATTATTTTTAACTTGCGATCAGAAAGCCCTAACCAATATAATAACATTGCTCTGATCAACTGATCTCTTAGCTTTGTAGAAGAAAACCAAATGCCAGACACGGGTGGGCTGAGGGAAACCTAACTCTGCCTATTATCCAAAATCTACAGCTGTACAGCAAACAAAAAGAGAAAAAACCAGCTTCTATCATGATTTATGTCTTACCATTTTCTTGTCTGAAGAGAATCCAACTGCTACCCAACCATCTGTGTCCGCACTCAGCTCAAATTCCACGTCAGCCCCTATCATCCGGTAGCTAAGGAAGTAGTCACAGGTTTCTGCATTGCAGCCTGGTTTGCCGTATCTAGAGGGTATATCAAAACGTATATTACTGCTGCTTCATCCACACGTGCAAAATGGATTTAGACAGCATCTGCCATGCATCAGACAGGATGCTAAGCGATATTATTTAATAAATTTGGCCTTGGCTATCTAGGGTCTCAAAAACACAGTCCCACTCAGGGAGGGCCTTGGGGAGCTCTTTTCTACTTTATCTACATATAAACCGTGGTCCAGATGGGAAAGACTTGTGTAAGGACACACAGTGAGTCAGTGTCTGCAGCAGGGGTTCCAAACTCTCAGGCAGTCTTCCCTAAATTCTATCAGCGTTTTACAAATGCTGTTGATAACTGAATTCTTTCTGATTCCCTTTCAATGGAAAAAATTTCTCTGAGTTGCTCATTTCAATGATTTTTGTTACTTTAATGTATATAAACTCTTCTTAGCAAATTTTTATATAACCATTAAACATGCACAGATTTATAATTTATATATATAAATGAAACAAAACCAGGACCATTTAAATTAACATCAAACTTGAACATCATTCTTATGATGAATGTGGTTTTACTGAAGGGTAAATTTCTCCTCACCTGGATGTGGTCCATCTGACTGGACTGGGCAGGGACTTCTGAGTTGGGCCTAAACCCAACAAGATGACTCAACTCTCCTCTACTCTTATCTATTTGATCTCCGGCAACCTGTTATTCTTAAGTGTACCAAAAAATATCTCATTTGGAATTTGTTGAGTGTGAGTAGTATCAGTTATTAAATTTGCCTATACTCTTTTGGCTTTGTTGTTGTTAAGTGCTGTTGAGTCGGTTCCGACCTATAGCGACCCAGTGACCCCGTATAGGGCTACTTGGTGCTAATACACTGACAAACTCACACACTAAAGCCTGTAGCAGCATAACGTAGTTATTCAGATAATCAGCTTCTTGTTGTTAAGTGCTTTCAAGTTGATTCCAACCCATAACAACCCTCTACAGGGTTTCCCAGGAGCAACCTGCAGTTCAAACTGACTTTGCAGTCCAGTACATGAACCCACAGCACCACACCAGGACTCCATATCCATTTACACATACATTAATCTTTTTAAAGAAAACCAATGAAATGATAATATACATTTTAAATTTCTTGCAAAGGACTTATGGATCCTTTAAGAATCAGCAGGTCCTGGATTGGGAAATAATACTGTGTTACACCATTTTCAGAATGAGATCTAATTTTAGCAATGAGTAGGACAATCTAAGCTCTATTGTCAAACTGTTGCTGTTAGGTGCTGACTCAAAGAAACCCTGTACAGGATTTTCAAGGAACGGCTGGTGCGTTTGAACCACCGACCTTGTGGTTCCAACTGACCTTGTGGTCCACTGCTTTATCCCACAGCACCACACCAGGACTCCCTATTGACCAATGGAAGGTATCTAAAGGAACAAGACACAAGACAGCTAAGTTTTGACTGAGGGAGTGAGGCCCCGGGCAGGCACTGGTAGAGATACCCTGAGTTGCTGGTTGTTGTTGTTGTTAAGTGCCATCGAGTCGGGTCCGACCCATAGCGACCCTGTACAGGGTTTCCGAGGGTATAAATCTTTACGGGAGTAGAAAGCCTCATCTTTCTCGCGCGGAGCGGCTGGTAGTTTCGAACCGCTGACCTTTAGGTTCGCAGCCCGATTCGTAACCACTACGCTAAGATATAAAATCAAGGAAACATGAAATTAGGGTTCAAAACTTGGGGGGAAAAAAACAAAAGTTTGTTTAAAAATAGAATTAAAATAAAATTTTCAATGAAAACAAAAAATTGAAAAGAGGTAAGGAAAGCAAAAAGGACGGTCAATCGGCCAGAAAAAAAATCACCCTAAAGTCAGCAGGGAACTGGCATTCCTTTCCTTCTCAAGACAGCGTCCAAATCACCAAGGTAGCCACTGCTGGCCATCCTGCTTGGTAGCAGCATCACTGAATATTTTTATTCCTTAGAAATGCTCACAGAGTCCAAAGATGGCTCAAAACATCATTATCAGATCTATTCCCTTATACCTGGAACACTGAACAACAACAAAACAAAATGAGAAACCAGGGAAGAAGCCAACAAAACCTTTACTCAAGAGCAATTTCAGGAAATAAAAGATGGAAGAGAAGGGGGCCTTTCCAACAAAACAAAGCTGTCTAGATGGGAAGACCTAGGATCTATACCACTGTTTTCAAGCCCAGTCCAACTTCTGGCTTGAAAGAATTCTACTACTAATAGAATACTAAAAACAATCATGTAAGGACTTGCTACAACTGAGATACCAAGATAGACACAATAGCGTAGTGGTTACGAATTGGGCTGCCAACCTCAAGGTCAGCAGTTCGAAACTACCAGTGGTTCCACGGGAGAAAGATGAGGCTTTCTGCTCCCATAAAGATTTACAGCATCTGAAACCCTGTATAGGGTCACTATGAGTCGGAACTGACTCCACAGTACTTAGCAGCAATGACCAGTTAGTTATATGTAGATATACATATATCCCTAAGTCATGACTATTTGAAAGAAAAAAAATTTGGTTATCATCAGGCATGTCTATCATTATTGCCTGGCCTGCCCACAGCCTCTGCTAAATGAGCACAGAGACACAGTCCAGATCACTCCATGGTCCTTCCTCATGAGTCAACCGGCTAGAAGTAGAACCTGGGCAAAAGGCAGTGCAGGCACAACTAGCCAGCCATCTATGAATTGTGGCCTGTCTCAAAATGACAACTGGGTCAGGAATCAATGGATTCTTGCTTTCAAAAATGTAAAGTAAGAACCAGAGAAGTGTTTCAGTGTCTGCTGAATACTAGAGTTAAAGGGCCTGTTAACTGGGGGTGCAGGTGGGGGAGTGGAGTAGGTTTCATGCTTATGTTGAAAAGGAGTACAAGTCCCATGATTAGAACACGCTGCATGCAATTTTATTACTATCTTAAAAAGGCAAGTCAAGTGCTTGACCTTAGTTATCCAACTTGTTGTTCTACAAACCTGAAGCATCCCTTAGTTTTTCCACAGTCTTCCACTTTGATTTTGGCGAATGGATCCACAGGAGGAGCAGTCGGGAAAGGGTAACCTGGGTAGTAAGAATAAATGGTCAGAACATCCAATGACTTTCTCAATGAGAAATAACTTTTTATAATGTGTTAACTTTTCATGTTGATGCTGTTGTTGTCATTTCAACTCATGATGACTTTGTAAGAGAGAGGAGAGATGCATGGAAGGGATTGTAACCATGGCATTGAAACGATATACGATAGGATGAATGTAAAGCTAATGTTCTCCCATGTAAACGATCCCATAATTCACAATAAAAAAAAAAAAAAAAAAAAAAAAAAAAGACAGGAGAACGGTCCCATAGGATTTCCAAGACTGTAAACTGTAAAGCAGTCTGTCACAGTTTTCTCTCACGGTACAGCTGGTGGGTTCAAACAGCCAACCTTTAAGTTAGGAGAAGAGTGCTTAACCACTGCTTCACCATGGCTCCTGTATTATATAGGCTGTAAATGTCTAGGGTCCCAGAAAAGGGCTTTGGTTAAGCCTGATTATCCTCTTCATGGGGGAAGGAAATAGGACATGCATCTCTGAACCCAGCATTATGTATTATGCACAGAGAGTATTTGTTCTTTTCTCATTATGCAGGTGGGGAACCAGAGGCAGTGAGAGGAAGCTCACCATTGTCCCTGGAATTTGAACATGTGAATTTTAATTCGCATGTTATAAGAGAAAACAATGAATGATTAGACATTTATATACTTGATAGTTTTTTTTTTCCATTTATATACATGAGAATGTGGTCTTTCCACTCTATTTGTCTGAATTCCCATCTTTTATTATGCTGTATGGAATCCTGGTGTGGCAGTGTGGGCTAATGCACTTGAACTGCAAAGTTGGTTTGAACTGCAAGGTTGGCAGTTCAAGCTCACCAGCTGCTCCTCACAAACCCTATATGGGGTCGCTATGGGTCAAAACCAACTTAACGGTACTTAACAACAACAATATGAAGCTGTAAGATGGGTGTGGTGCTGTAGGATCAGCACTGGAGTGCAAACCACAAGGTCAGCAGTTCAAACCCACCAGCGGCTCCTTGGAAATCCTACGTAAGGTCGCTATGGATCAGAACCGACTCAACAGCGATTAACAACAACAACAACAAATATTTTAAACACAGTTTCTAACAGCTGTGTATCTTTAAGATTACTTAGCACCATAATGCATCAAGCCAAACATTTAAGGGTTAGCTTTGTTCTATGATTCCAGTCTGTAACAGAAATATTTTCTCCTAGACTGTCTACTCCATGCACACGTCTGATTCATCTTGTAACCTCTACCCAACATAGTGCTAGGCACTGAACACTAAGTGAAAGATTGTCAAATAAAAAATAATCACCTCTAGACATAGGTGGAGCACAGTCACTCTATAGAGTAAGCACTGGATTGCAAACCACAAGGTCTGCAGTTTGAGCCCCCCAACCACTTTGCAGGATAAAGATGAGGCTTACTGCTCCTTCAAAGATTTGCAGCCTTGGAAACCCTATACAGAGTCACTATGAGTCTGAACCGACTCGACAGCACTTAACAACAGGCATGAGGTAATGTAATGGAATTGTGATTTTTAGGTGCTGTAAAGTTAATCCGTACTCATGGTGACGCCATGCACAATGGAATGAAATCTTGCTCTGTCCTGTGCCATCAACACCCCAAAATTGGTTGTGGCTCAGAACATTGGGATCCATAGGGATTCAACTGGTAACCTTTCCATAGTACATCACCAGGCCTTTCTTCTTCATCCATCTCAGTCTGGAAGTTCTGCTGAAACACAAATCTCCTCAGAGAGATAGGCGGTAGAGACACAAGAGGTTCACTGATGAGAAAGGGAACCTGGGTCTGTCCATGGGAGGTAAGAATCCTACCTTGGACCGTTACTGCCTCAATATAAACAAGCACAAACTTAAAAAAAAAATACACAACCTCTTCTAGTCATTTTATTAGTTTTTCTTTTCCCATTGTTATTGTTGTTAAGTGCTGTTTAACTGACTCAATTTCTTTAATGGGTACAAAATTAATCAGGTTATAAATTTTCTAAATTTAGGCATAAAGTTGTTCATTGTATTTCATATTAGCTTACTTGATTTGAAAAAAAAAGGTTTCCTTTTTAAAAATTGAGATATAATTCACAAAGCATAAAGTTTATCATTTACAGCTGAGTGGTTTTTAGTACTAGTCAGTGTTGTGTAACCATCACTATTAAATTATTCCAGAATATTTTTCTCATTTCAAAAAGAAGCCCTGTGTCATCTATAAGCAGTCATGTCCATTCCCCATCCCTGGCAACCAGTGACCTACTTTTAGTCTCTGTGTATTTACCTATTCTGGACATTTCAAATAAACGCCAACACACAACACGCAGTCTTTTGTGTCTGGCTTCTTTCATTTAGCATACGATTTCCAAAGTTCATCCATATGAGAGCATGGATCAACAATAACATTCTTTTTTTAGCCAAATAATATTCCATTGTATAGGTCTGCCACATTCTCTTTATCCATTCATCAGCTGAGAGATTTTTAGGCTGTTTCCACTTTTTGGCAGTATGAATAACATTACTATAAACAGTCACAGATGTCCAAGTTTTTGAATGAAGAGCTATTTCAATTCTCTTGGGTATATATCTAGAAGTGAAACTGCTGGCTCAGGTGGTAACTCTGTTTTAATTCTTAAGGAGCAGACAAAATGTTTACCAAAGTGATGGCACCATTTCACATTGACCATGTATGAAGGGTCCAACTTCTCACTTCCTTACCAATCTGTGTTATTACCCGTCTTTTTCACCACAGCCATCCTACTGGGGGTAAAATGGTTTATCATTGTGGTTTTTGTTTGCATTTGCCTAATGACTAGTGATATGAGCATCTTTTCATGCATTTCCTGGACATTTGTGTATCTTCTTTAGAGAAAGATCTCTTTAAAGTTTTTCCATTTTTACACTGGTCCTTTGTATTTTTATGAGATACAGTTTATTAGTTCATTAATCCCTAGATCTAAGATTATTTCCTCCTTTTTTATCCCTAATACTATTTGTGCCTACTCTCCATTTTTCTTGCTCAATATTGCCAAAACGTATCCACTTTTATTAATATTTTCAAACCATCACTTCTGGCTCTGTTGCGTTTCTTTACTATTTGGCCTCGATTCATTAATTATTGGACTCCTGGTGTGGTGCTGTAGGGTCAACATGGGACTTTGAACCACAAGGTCACATTCACCAGCTGCTCCTGGGAAACCCTCTACAGGGTCACAATACATCACGATTGGCTCAAATGGCACTTAACAACAACAACGTATATGTATTAATTTGCATTGATTTCCTGCTACTTTATTTCTATTTCTTCTCTTTTTCCCTAACTTCATAATACTCACCATCTCTCCTTTTCTTATATCAGCATTTAAGCCCAACAGCCAACTGCCTCCAGTGTTTTTTTCTTGTATATTCCACCAGCAAATCAATTCCTCTTGTCTAATACTAAGCTCCTCTAGCCCCCAAATGACCCTCCTATGGTTCCTTGGTAAACATCCTACTACCTACCCAGTCTCCCAATCCTGAAACCTACCTCAGTCCTAGATTTCTCCTTCTATCCCACCTGGTCCACTCCCTCAGTCATTATAGTGTGTTATTCCTACTTATGGAGCCCTGGTGTGGCACTGTGAGTTCATGTGCTGAACTGCAAAGTCAGTTTGAATTGCAAAGTTGGCGGTTCAAGCTCACCAGTCGCTCCTTGAAAACCCTATACAGGGCTGCTCTGGGTCAGAACTGACTTGACAGCACTTCACAACAATCAGAACATTCCCACTTCAGATACCTAGTGACTACGGTACAGGCTTCTATCTGGTTCCCCAACTTCTCGGTCACCCTTTTCTACATGTACCACCTTTCTAAACCAGCATCTGGTCTTGGTATGCTACACCACTGCTTACAGACCTACCCACACCACTCTATCTTCCCTGTGCTTGTCTTCCCAGTTTTTTTTTGTTTTTTTTTTTAATTTAAGGTTTTTATTGTGGATTGAGTGAAAGTTTACAGGGCACATCATCAGTTTCACATTCAACAATTCATATAACTTGTTTCATTACATTGATTATAATCTCCTCCATATACCATCAGTTAAAAGTATTTCTCTTTATCCACTTGAGCTTTTTTTAAAAAAAAAACCCACTCAGGCATATATAATAAATTACATCTTCAAAGGGCACATTCTGCAAGTCTGCTCCTGGCCACCAGTTCTTAGTCCTTCTCTTCTTAGTTGATGAATCTAGAGTCCTCCATGCCCCCATCTCTGCCTCCATCTCTGGTGCTGCTGCTTCTCTGGATAAGGTCCCACATTCTATTTGTGTGTTCCTCTCTTGATGGTCCTAGGGTCCTCTGTTTCTGGACTGTAAGATTAATCACTCCCCTTTTTTTGGTTACAAAACTTCTACCTTTACAATTGTGACAGTCGTGATTAGTCATGATAACAGTTATTCACTACTGAATCTTACGAATCTTATCCCCATCTCCTTTCACCAGACCCATCTAGACAAGATGCTAACTATTCAGTGGGGACTCTTTCTTTCCCCCCACACTCTTAAACTAAGCTCCCTCTTGAAACCTTGTAAGCCAGTCACTTCGTGCCTTTATTGTCCCCTCATTTTTGATAGCCAATGTCTAAGTTGCCCATCCCTATTTACCCTGTGCACAGAGCGGATAGCATTGATACTTGATTTGAAGACTCTTTCCCTCTCTGTTGGTATTTAGAGTAACTACTGCTCTGAGTATAGGTTTGTCTTCCCAGTTTTGAGCTACAATGAACTATACAGGCACGACCAGCTTCTCCCTCTCCCTTTACTTTTGCCGACACTCCCAGTCTTCTTTATTTACTTACCTACTTGTTTATTTTAAGGAGCTCTGGTAGCATAGTGGTTACGAGTTGAGCTGCTAATCACAAGGTCAGTAGTTCAAAACTACCAGCGGTTCCACGGGAGAAAGATGAGGCTTTCTGCTCCCATAGAGATTTACAGCCTCAGAAACCCTATACAGGGTTGCTATGAGTCGGAACCAACTCCACGACATACCACAACCACTTATTTATTCAGTTTATTCCTTTCTCTTCATGTTCTATTTTGATGTAACTTTTTTCCCTCTACGATGGAAACCTGTATTGAGACTAAATAATATTGGCTTGAGACTACATGATTTCTGTAGGCTTTCCAACTGTAGAAAGTCTTCATCTTCCCCCTTCTCTCATATATGCTCTATAAACTCTTTCAGTAACTGTTCTGTTTTGGAGAACAATTAGAAGCATTTTTTCTTCCCCTCGTTTCCTATTATCCTTTCCTCCCTTCAGATATTTTTTATAACATAAGAGGTACTTATTTTCTTGATTGATTTTTCAGGTCCTCAATTTGGTTTTGTGGTTCCATTATTATCTAATTCATAGAAACTATCTGTTCCATTTTTTCAATCCCTTGAGCCTGTTTGCCATACTCCATTGGGTGGTTAATGGCTTCCCGTTTGCTATTTATTGCTTCTAATTAATTCCTTGGATCACTGCCTTTAGGTATTAATTTAGTACGTGATTCCTTGAAGTTTTAACCAGAAATAGTCTTGTCATATCATTGTGTTCAAATCTCCGAGAACTATTAAAGCAGTTTTTCTCTTTCTAGACTGCCAAGCTCCACACATACACGAATGCCTGCTTAGCGCAGCTTTCACTGTGGCACTCCACTACCTAGGAAGATTCAGCTGTCTGAGGTATCAAGTCCACACTCTTCTTTTCAAGTTCACTTATAAAAACACTAAACTCTGCCTTATCTGACTGCATTTCCCAGCACATGTTAACAGTGACCCTCTACTCCATGTAGGCTGGACACTTTGCATGTTATCCATAAAAGCTATCAACAAACACAGTGCCCAGACTACCTTCCAGCTATGTGACTTTAACGAAAACATTTACTTAAGTTTTCTCTGGTTAGTTTCCTTATTTCTAAAGTAAGGATAAAACAAGCATCTAACTCATAGTTGTAAAGACTAACTATATAATAAGGATTGGATCAGGTATTTAGCAAGCTTGGCACACGCTGTAGTTGTTTAGCGCTGTCGATTCAGGTCTGATGCATAGCAACCCTGAAAAGGGTTTCTGAGGAACGGCTGGTGAATTTGAACCACTGACCTTGCGATTCAAACCGACCTTGTGGTCCAGTACTTATCCTACACCACCACACCAGGACTTATGTTGTTGTTAAGTATCGTCGAGTTGATTCCGACCCATAGCGACCCTGTATAGGGTTTCCAAGGAGCAGCTGGTGAGTCCTTATTAAAAGTTAGTTTCTATTATTGGACTAGTTCATGAAAAAGATAAAGATTAATCAGACATATGAGATGTATGATGTCTCTGTCTGGGACCCACAGAGCTAAAACCTAGGCTTAGGGCAATCTAACAAGATACCTCTCCTGAGAGGTCTACCCCACAAACATCTCACCAGCACTCATTAGATGGTAGCAGGATCTGCATTTGAAGAGGAAGTAAAACTGCCAAAAATCAAGAAAAAATAGGCAGGTAAAGCTCAGAGTGGAGGGAAGCAGGGAATGATTGTTGTGAAGAGAAGCTGATTCAGAAAGATAATTCCAGATAAAGGAAGCTGATTCTGAAAATTCCAGACAATGCTTCATGCAGTGGGCAGACTAGAACCATCACAGATTTTTAAATGCAACAACAACATTGTTAGAGCCAGGCCTCAGGAAAGTTAGGTTGGTTGTATATGCAAAAAGGGCTGAAGGAAGGGGTAAGGAGACAAAGCCTTTTGTGCCTTGCTAGTCCTGACCTGGAATGCTCCCTCATTCTTTTTACCAGTCTTCCATACTTTCCCCCAGGGCAGTACAAAACCTTCCTTGGTGGCTACAGACCAGTCTGATGTCCATGCTCATCTCACACTCTGTACTGTCCTCTTTGGATTGACAAAGTGATATTAGGCTCTGACCATGTTCTTCAATATATATACCCAGTCAAAAGATAAATTCTAATATACCATGTACAAGCTAGCAAGCGCTTATTAATACTTACTCTTTTTCAGTGATTGATTCTGCTTCTATTTATTGTCTCTTCTCTGTCTTCTCCCCACTCCTATCCTCAACTTCTCCCTGTCCACATAGCTGCCCATATAGAAGGTCACATTTGCCAGCCTTCCTTGCAGCTAAGGCATGCAATGATATTTTTGCCAATGGACTGGGAGTAATTTCTTGCCCTGAAAATCCTCTTTCCTCTTCTGTCAAGCTTGACCAAGGTAATGGAAGTGACTTAACTTCCCTTCACACACAGATGAGGACAAAGTCTTAGAGGATGGTAAAGCAGTAAGATGGAAGGGATCTGAGTCCTTGAATGACCTTGTGAAACATGGCTGTCCTACCAGATTATATTCTGGGAGTCCTGGCGTGGCACCATAGGATAAGCACTCGACCTCAAGGTTGGTTCGACCCACAAAGCTGGCAGTTCAAACTCACAAGCCATTTCTTGGAAACTTCATACAGGGTTCTCTATGAGTCAGAATCCACTTAGCAACAACCACCATTAGACCACATCAGTCACTCTTAGGTGAGAGAAAAATAGACTACCTTACTTAAGCCAGTTTATGTTCGGAATTCTGTTTCAGCAATTAAAACTCTACTCAACTAATTGCTGTTGTTGTTGTTAAGTGCTGTTGAGTCGATTCTGACCCATAGCAACCTTACATAGGGTTTCTGAGGAGCAGCTGGTAGAGTGTCCCCGTTCCATTATCTCCATCTTCCTTACTACAATCATTCCAATTTTTGAATTAGGCACATTGTTTCCCAGAAGACTGTATTTTCCACCATTTCTTACACTTTTGTGCAACTATGTAGTTAAATTCTGGCCACTGAAATACAAGCAGAATTGTTATATGGGGTTTCTGAAAATTTTCCTTATAATCAATGATCTTCCTTCTGTTTCCTCTTCCCCACTACCTGGATGGCAGATATACTGGCTGGTGCTCAAACAGTCACCTTAGACCATGAAGTTACATGCTAAGAATTGTGAAGCAGAATGGCAGGATTCAGGGTCCATGGTGGCCATAGTACCTCCATGCCACTTTTGGGGTGCCTTCTATCTTATTTAATTTATTAATGTGTGTTATCTGTTGTTGTTGTTGTTGTTGTTATATGCCATGGAGTCGGTTTCAACTCATAGCGACCCTGTACAGGGTTCCCAAGGCTGTAAATCTTTATGGGAGCAGAAAGCCTTATCTTTCTCCCGTGGAACAGCTGGTAGTTTCGAACTGCTGACTGAGGTTCACAGCCCAATTCGTAAAAGCTCTGGTGTTATCTGTAGGTGAACCTAATTCTAACTGATATAACCAATAACACATCAGTTACCCGGACACACACTTCAAACCCCAACTTGATTCTCTGACTTAGCAGAGGAAACTAAAAATCACTTCTTTTTAAAGATGCATAAGCATGAATACTTGACTTTCTTGCTCACAGAAGCAGCTGTGCAGACCTTAGCAAAGGTCACTCACACTCGGGGACTTTAACATATATGGTGACAGAAAAGTAGGATGGAAATGGGAAGGAAGATGTGACTCCCTCTGATGCAGAGTAGTGACCAAGACTTGAATGCTATTGTTGGTAAGCTAGCAAATTCTGGTCAATCCAGACAGAACGGGAATAAAACAGCAGCTCTCTTTTAATTGTGATGACGATCTGGGTTTCTGCTTCCCACTAGCTGGTCCCATGAACACTCTGGCCAGCGTGGAGTCGGCCAGGGCAACAAGCACAAGTCCCACCCCCCCCACCCCCATCCTTTGAGGGTCCATATCTATCATGCTTCAGGACAGATGGAGGCCTTTTCTTCGATTGCCCCCCACAGGGATCATGAAGGCGAGATGCTGGTACAAGGGAAGCCTAGGGCAGCACCACCTGTCTACAGGATCGCAGGGCTTGGGTGACCACTTCCTGCTACCAGATTCAGTCTCCCACCTGTCAAGCAGTGCATGGGAAGCGCTGATAGCTCCCTGGGCCCTTCGTCCAGGTTGGTGGGGTCTGAGCAGTGCGCTTCCCGTTCCAGCCTCAGCTGCGCCAGAGCTGTTTTTGGTTTGCATTCTCACCTCCATCCCAACGCCCGCTCTCTCCCGATAGCTAAGCGTGGGCCTCCCCTCCCGGAGCCCTTCACCCTCCCATGGCCTCACCCTCTTCGGACAGATAACGCAGGTCGTAGAACTCGCCAGCGAAGGTACCATAGGAGGAGTCGTGGCGCGGTGTCGCCTCGTCTGCGCCCGCGTCCCCCCGCGCACGTCCCCGGGGTCCCCGGCCCCCCTGGCCCGTGCCGTCGTCCGCGGGGCTGGCGGCGCAAGCAGCAGGTCCAGCCAGCAGCAGCAAGAGCAGCGGCACCCTGGGCTCCAGGCGCTGCCTGGGCGGCCGCGCCATCACTACACACAGATCCCGCAGCCAGGCCACTCCGGCCGCAGCGGGGGCGCCGCGGGCGCGGAGCCAGGACTGCGCCGCTGCTGCCGCCAGAACGCGTCCGCTCACCCCGCATCCTGCGCAGCCGCGGAGCCACCGCGCCCGCCCCCGGCTCGCGCATCCTCGCTCGGCTCCCGCAGCCTCCCTCTTCTTGCGGGCGTTCTTTGCGCTCCTACGGACCAGACCTGCTTTCCTATTTTCCTTCCTTTTTCCCATTCTTCCATTCCACACACCTCCCTCGCCTCCCTCCAAAGCCTTCTCCACCGATGTCCCAAAGGTGTGGATTTGGCCCTTCTAAACTGGTGTGGCGCTGTGGGCTAATGCGTCAGACTGCAAAGTCGTTTGAACTGCAAGGTCGGTGGTTCAAGCTCACCAGCTGCTCCTTGGAAACCCTATACAGGGTCGTTTTGGGTCGGAATCGACTTGATGGCACTTAACAACAACAACAACAAACCCATGCTACTAAGTATTGTCTGTGAACCAACAGAATCCTGGACCATAACCTGGAAGTTCGTTTGTTCTGCGGAATTTCAGCCTCACTGCAGACCCAGAATTCAGAATCTGCATTTTAACAAGATCTTCAGAAGATCCCAAAGCACGTTCAAGTTTAAGAAACCCTGCTCTAAAGCGTTTCCCCTGGACACATCATTCGACTAGGCCTTGTCAGAAACACCGCCTCTCCCATCTTTTTCAAGAAATTTTTGGCTTATATAAAGCACTTACTATGTTTATTATTTTCTTGGGATTGTCACAGAAAAAAATGGATATAGCAAGTTCCCCATTATATAGATAAGAAAACTGAATTGCTTAGAGCCAGAGTAGGAAATAAAACCCAGTTCTTCCTACTGGATTCCTCTCCAGATTCTGGCAATGCAGTAGTCAGGAGAGGTGTTGGTGCCCATACAACCTGTCCCTTCAAAAACAGGCCACTGGTTTAATGTTTCCTTTAGGGAAGTATTCACAGGCCTTGGCAGATCTAGACCCATATCTAAATGGCCACAAGTTTACCAAGTCCATTTCTGCTGCTTGCAATTCAAGTGTTTACTCAGCCATTCATTTACGCAACCAAGTGCTTACTATATGCCAGATCCTAGGATTCTTTTCTTCTAATGGTGGTTGGGGTGACAACCCATCCAAGCTGCTAAGCTAGTTTCCATTAGAGACATGGACACAATTCCTTTCATATTAATATTGTAGAACCAGCATTTTAACCTTTTTCTGTTTTATTTTAATTTTATTTCATTTCATAAACAAAGAAGATAATTATGAAGGCAGAAAAGCAGGTAGCTTCTAAATGCAGAGTCAGAAAGCCAACTTGGGTTGAACTCAATAACCCAGCCATAATCAATAACCTTGACAATGACAGTGAAGGTAGGTAAAATGAAGATGCAGGATCAGTAGGACTTAGTGGTATTAATGACAGGAACAAACATGCACACAATTATGAAACATTAATATTTAAAAGAATACGTGACCTCAACCTTTTTTTGGCCTGAATACCACAGGAGTGGTTGTTGTTGTTATTATTAAGTGCTGTGGAGTCAGTTCCAAGTCGTAGCCACCCTGCATAGGGTCTCTGAGGAGCTGTTACTGGGTTTGAACCATTGATCTTGCAGTTCAAACTGACTTTGGGGTCTAGTGCTTATACTACAGTGCAATATGGGTAGTTAATGTTAAGTTGTTGCTAAGTGCTGTTCGGTTGGTTCCAACTCATAGCTACCCTGTATAGGGTTTCCAAGGAGCAGCAGATGGGTTTGAACTGCTAACATTGTGGTTCACAGTCCAGTGCTGATCCTACAGTACCACATTAGGAGTCCCCACAGGGATAGTTCTACTATCAAAATAGAAGTGCTGGCAAGGAGACTCCAGAGTTCAAGTGTTTGCTGTTGTGTGTCAGCAGGCGGTAGAGTATATAAATGGAATTTAAACATGTTTATCCTTACAGGTAAGGAGCTCTGGTAGCATAGTGGTTAAGAATTGGCCTGCGAACCTTAAGGTCAGCAGTCTGAAACTACTAGCTGTTCCGCAGGAGAAAGATGAGGCTTTCTGTTCCCATAAAGATTTACAGCCTCAGAAACCCTGTACAGGGTCGCTATGGGTCGGAATTGACTCGATGGCACTTTACAACAACAAATAGAAAAGAGTAGACCTGCTCTTTAGGGTTTTTTGAGACTGTAAATCTTTAGGAGAGAAGATATCTTTCTTCCTTGTAGCAGTTGATGGGTTTGAACTACCAGCCTTGCAGTTAGCAGTCCATACTTAACCCACTATGCCACCAGGGCTCATTCCTCACAGGTAAACAGAGGCATAATTCATGACATTTTGAATGGGCTTCACTAAATCCCACAATACACCAGTTATTGCAAAAAATAAATCCGATTTATTGCTAGAAAAAAGTGAACTGTAATTATTTAATTACTAATGCATACAATTCTAGAATGAAAACCCCCTGTTTAAATCCTGTTCAAATAAAGTGTAATCCTTCAGAAAACTACAACTCTCTTAAAAATTGAAATTCCTTTTCTTTTTTTCCCCCCATTCACCAGAGAAAGCATCAGACTTCTGGTTTCAGTGCATTTTGGTTTATGAATCTAAGCAGCTAATTATTACTTTCTTTTATATTGCCTTATTTTGGCTACTACAATTAACAGTGATGACACCAGATAGGAGACAAATTCATTCTCTTCCCTGACCTGATAAAAAGGTGTTTGTTTTGTTTTGTTTTCTCCCCTTAAGTGTGAAGTGGAGATAGGAAAGGGTTTGTAACCACAAACTAAATGAGATCTACAAGTAATCTGTGGATTGCAATGGGAACCCTGGTATTGTAGCGGGTTATGAGTTGAGCTAGCAACTGCAAGGTCATCAGTTCACCTCCACCAGCAAGCTCCACAGACAAAAGATGAGACTTTCTGTTTCTATAAAGATTTACAGCCTTTGAAGCTCTTTACAGGGTCATTATGAGTCAGAACTGACTCCACGGCACACAACCACCTCCATTCATGATCCATGAATTCCTAGGGGCCACAGATGGGTTTCAGGAATTGTATGAGGCCCTTCCCGAAATGCTGGACTAATATTATGACGTATGCATTTTTCTAGAGAGAGAACTCATAACTTTCATGGTCACTCAAAGTCTGTGTGTCTCTCCAGGGCCTTCTGCTTGGACCTTCTGTCATCTTGTGCACACGTCAGAATCTACTTGGGCTCTTCATTTCCTACAGACTTGTCTGAATCTATTTCATGAGTTTCTCTCCCATGCCTTACACTGTCTTTTGGGGTTTTCTTATTCTTCTATTTTCTTCCAAGATTTAAGCCCTAGAAAGACTGGAGAGAGATCTGTTCCCACCCTCAATACATGTTCCCATTCGTGTTCTATTCCAGGTTTTGCAGACGTCCTCTGCTCCCCACCAACGAGAATCCACCCAGTGGTCAAGAAAAATGGTGGGTTCCTCTTCTGTGCTTGTTTTCTGGGAAAGAACTTTCTCTGAACATTGAGACTACTGGCTGAACAAGAATTGACAGTTCAAACAAGCAATCTGGGCGATTAAATGGAGTTTAATTTCATTTTAATTTTTTTTTAAAAAGATAACACTTTTATTTCCTCTTCTCTTCAAAGCAGGTCTTCTAACCAGTTCATTTCAGATCTAGCCAGTTAATTCCAGGTCAACTGGAATGAATTGGTTTGAACCAATTTCAAACCAGTTTCAAAGTCACTTCTCTTAAAAACCTTCTTTCTGCTATAAAAACAAAAAAAAATGAAATCAATGTTCTGCGTTGATAGCTGACCAATAACAGTCTTGCCCATGCTCTTGACTGTCTTAATATATGTGATTTTTGCTTTTTTTTTCTTAAAAATTAAAGTTTTGATCTTAGAAGTTCCTTAAAAAGTTAATCGTAGAGTTGCCATATGACCCAGTAATGAAAACATAGGTCCACCAAAGACTTGTACATGTATGATCATTGTAATATTATTTCTCATAGCAAAAAAGTTGAAATAACTCTTTGATGAGTTGATAAATAAAATGTGGTATATATTCAAAACAATAGCAAACAAAGCACAGATCTGTGCTACAACATGGATGAACCTTGGAAACATTATGCTAAGTGAAAGAAACAAATGGTAACACATTGTATAATTTCATTTATATGGACTGTCCAGAATTGGTAGACTTATAGAGACAGAAAGCAGTTAGCAATTGTGAAGGGCTGGGTGAGGACCAAATTGGGAGTGATTGCTGATGGGTACAGGACCTCTTTTTTTTTTTTTTTTTTTAAGTTTACTTGTGCTTTATTGACTGTGTAAAGGCTTTTTTTTTTTTTTTCCTTAAATGTTTTATTGTGAATTATGTGATAGTTTACATGGGAGAACATTAGTTTTACACAGGACCTCTTTTGGGGTGATGAAAAAATTCCAGAACTAGATTGTTGTGAAGGTCACATAACATTGTGAATCTACAAAACCCACTGAGTTATACAATTTGAAATGGTTAAAATGCTGAATTATATCACAAATTTAAAGCAAAAGGCTTAAAGATGGTTAAAGAAAGACAAAGATGATACTAGAGCATCCCTGTACTATTTTGGAAAATAAGATTCTGAGGGAATCCAGGTGGGATCTTCTGAATGACTTGGTACTTAGCTTTCAAACTTTCAAAACAAGGACTTCCTATCAGTCTTGGTGGTGGTAAAAGACATCAAGTAGGTTTTGACTCAAAGAGACCCTGTATAGGGTTTCTGGAGTCCTGATGAAGCGCTTCTAGGATAAGCACTGGACTACAAGGTTGGTTTGAACTGCAAGGTTGACAGTTCAAATCTACCAGACACTCCTTGGAAACTCTATACAAGGTTGTTATGAGTCAGAACTGACATGACAGACTACACAAACAATACATGTTTTTAGGAACAGAAAACCTCATCTTTTTCCCATGGAGCAGCTGGTGGGATCAAACCACCAACCTTGTGGTTCGCAGTCCATTGTTTATCCTATAGAAGCACTGCGCTCCCCTCCTACTCAGTCTGTTGTGGTTAAGTGCTGTTGAGTTTGGACCAATTCACTGTGATCCTATATAGGGTTTCTGAGGTTGTCCATCTTTGTAGAAGATCGAAAGCCTCATCTTACTCCTGCAGAGCAGCTGGTGGGCTCAAACCCATAACCTTGTGTTTCACAGTCCAGTGTTTATCCTACAAAGCCACTACACTTCCCTATCCAGTCTTGTTTTTGTTGTTGTTAACTGCTGTCGAGTCAGTTCTGACATATAGTGACCTTGTATAGGGGTTACAAGGAGCCATTTATGAGTTTGAACTTCTGACCTTAGGGTTAGCAGTTCAGTGCTGATCCTCCAGCACCACATCAGGAGTCTGTAATCCATAAATTCTGTGTATTGCAGGGTTCCCGGGTTCCTTGCCCACCAGGAGTGTACCACCCACAGAGGCTTGCTTTGGAACTATTATGTCAGCTAGCTGGCATTGGTGTGTGCTGAGTGACCACAGGGGGCTGTTTGGTTTCGTCTGGTTTTCAGTATACAGAAAACGTGAAGTACTTACACTTGTTCATTAAGGACAATGTCAATGTGCCCATCTCTTCCCGTCCCAATGTTAAGCACCCGTCGTCATACATTTAAGTGGTCAAATAACCAGGACAACTGCTGAAACAGTGGAATCCTCTTGATTTTACTGGTTAGAATTGAGCTGCCGAAGGTACTGGGTTTTCACATACAGAAACAGTCCATTTGGTTTTGGTCAGACTTCCAGTGACATCAACCTTCTGAAACATCTGTGAACCCAGAGGGGAGTGGGGAATACACAGGAGGCTTAGAACCTCCAGAACACAGCGGCCAAGAAGCCCATGCATCCCTCCTCAGAAGCAAAGCAAACCAGACACATATGTACGTAATACTTGGTTTCCTGGCTTCCCCAAGAGACCTTCAGTTTTACCCTGGAGGTTTCAATTAGAGAGCAGGAAAGGCAGAGCAGACGCCTCAGAAAGCAGGTTAAAAGAGGGGAGAGTTGGATTGGTAAAAGATGAAAACCCCAGACACAGATATCCCCCAGATTGTACAGAAACATATTTTATATTGAGTGTACGAGATCAAGAACGGCTAAAGCTGTTTCATAATACAGCTGGGGGTCCTGTAGTTGGGATAAAAGACCCCAAACACTACAGTTGCCCTGATGATATCACTGATGGTGCACAGGGCAGAAAAGACCATCAATGAGGGGAACATCAATAGTCCGAAAGGCAAAGCCAAGGCCTACACATTTGGATAGCTCCTGATGACCTCACTGCACTCCACCAAGTGCAAGAGAGGCTGATGTTTATGATGACCAGGACTCATCAAGTAAAGGTTACATACTCTCTGGGATACTCTGTTTACTAAGGCAGGGAAGTGTGTAACATATTTTAGAAAGATTTCCCTCAAAAAAAAAAAAATTGTAAAATTTTAAAGAGTCAGCACTTAACGGGTTAATCCTCAGTTATCTGAATATCTGCATACATGCCTCATTTTACAATACTAGTAAGTGAGGCATTACTCTTTTTTAATATATGATCATTAGTATCAAATTATTGGCACCATTCAGTTTTAAGGATAGGGACAGGAGCGCAAACTATACAGTACAACGTAAAAACACAGTTCTGATACAAATGTACAAGATCATTTCCACTTAATAAGTGGTCATAAGAAATGGATGGACATTTTACATACAGGGAGATAACAGCTAGTAAATCATCACATTAAAAAGTGTTCAGCCTTGCTAGCGATTAATGAAATAAAACAAACGTTCAAGAGCAACTATACATATCTATGAAACTAGCAAAAATCAATTAAAATGGCAGAACCCAATGCTGGCAGAGTTACTGGTAAATAGAAATGCTTATACATTGCTGGTGGCATTATAAATTGTAGAGGGGATTCAAAAGCATTCAGAAGGGATGGGGTCTAAACTAAATGACCTCCTAGGTCCTTCCAACCTAGAGACTGGCTCTTTCTGGAAAGCAAGCCGGCAATGTGAAACAAGAGCTATAAAACAATTCATGCTCTTGTGGTCCCTCTTTGGATATATTCCCAAAGGAATAATACAAAAAGAAGGAACTTTTTAAATAAAGACATTCATAGCAGCACTATTTGTTAGAGTGAAAAATTGGAAACCACCCAAATATCTAACAGGGGGGAAAAGTGAGGTTAACCATGATACATTGATATAAAGATATTTAAATTAGTGAGAGCAGAATCTGTGTGGATAAAAGGGCAGATGTGTTAGGTGAAGAAGTACAACAAAATAATATGTACACGGTACTCATAGTATGTAAAAATATGTGCATATATATTGAGAAAGCTTGGGAAACAATTTAGAGGGATAGTTTGTGGTTAAGGGGTTCCTTTTTCCTGTAAAGTTGTTTAAGTGCATAATAAAAATTTAAAAACACATTTCTTGAAACTATATAAAAAGAGAGCAAAATTTCTTTTGTTTAAGGTTTTATCAACAGGACATGAATTGATCAACTTTTGAGGTAATTTCCCTCTATGGACCATCCAAGTGAGTTTTCTTGATACTGAATTATCTTAACCTGATAAGAATTTTTATATAACTTAAGTTGATAATTTCCTACTTTGGGTTTGAAATGATAAAGTCTACTGATCCCAAATAATATCATATCCACCAACTTTGCAAGTTAAATTATATATATTTCAGATTAAGCTGAAATACTTTCAGTCATAGTGATATGTAACTGTCTTTGTTTTTTGTGTTTTAGTTCATCTATTCATGTCTGAAAATAAAAGTAAATGTTAAGGACTTTATAAGACTGGTATGTTTATCAGTGTAAATGAAAACTCAGGAAAAAAAGAATTCGTTTTTCCCTCATTAAAAAGGATTCTTTAACAAACAGTCAAAGCTCGGTGCAAGTTTCAATCATACAAAATCACATGGGTGAGACTGATAGCAAAGGATTTCTATGCATATTAACCCCTGTAGTTATTAACATATGTACACAGGTACTTCTGAAAAGGAATTCCCATTTTCCCATCTTTTTACTTCTAGCCTTACCAAATCCTGTCTCAACTACACTTAGTAATAGAAAACTTCTAATGCTCAGGAGAAATAAAACCACTTTTCCAATAAAAATCAAGCCAGAAGTTGGCTTTGTCTGTCCATGGGGCCCTGGGAACACACAGCACGCAACATTTGTATGTTGTGCTCGAGTGAGCAAAGCCCGAAGAACAAAATCAGACAGAAGGCACCACGCCATCCTCCAGGCGACAAGGGAAGAATTTCACAGTTCGGTCATCAACAGTCTTTTCATCATTTTCTCTCTCTCCAGTTCCTGCCGCAGTGTCTCTGCACTGAAGAAGAGCAGGTGAAAAAACAGTGAGATATAAAAGGCAGAATTTGCTTAAAAACCATGAACTGTAGTAAACACCAAAGAAGGCTTTGTAAACACTTGTAAACATCATCTACTGAATGAAATCTTTTTATTTTGAATATTAATTGACTTCCTTTGGATGAATGATTCATTGTACCAAGTCTTGGGAATAGAGATGAGGAAGGTAGGATCTTGCGCATGCAGTGGTTGATAAAAAGAGACAAATAGATCATATGTCCACATTTTTGGAAGTCTTAGGGCATGTTATGCTTCATCAATATCCTCAAGACTTTATTTCCAGTTTAATTACTTGCCATTGAGTTGATTCTGTTTCATGGTGACTGTGTGTCAGAGCAGAATTGTGTTCTGTAAGCTCTTTAATGGCTAAATATTGGAATTTTGGATGTAGATCACTGGCCTCTCTTTTAAGTCACATCTAGGTGAACTCAAACATCCAACCTTTTGGTTGGCAGCTGAACACATTAGCTATACCATCCAGAGAGTCTATAGGAATTTATAAAGAAAGCATTTATTAATCATTTGACCAGGCAACGTTATGGTAACCTTCCCAGTGTTGTCACAGCATCCTGACTGTACTCATCAAAATGTTCAATTCCTTCTTATCTCTTGCACTATACAGTAAGTCCCTGGGTTATAAATGTCAGACTATGGACAATTCCCATTTGCCTTTCATGTTATATAAATTTGCCTTCACTATGAACGGATCACAACAAGTTCATCACAATTACCTTCACTTGGTGCACGTGCAGCAGCTTTTAAATCATTGAAAGGCTTCAAGACTTTTGTAGCACTAACCCCCACCCCCTCCCCCCCCAAAAAAAACACCAAAACAAATAACACTGCAATCAAGTTGACTCATAGGTTTCCAAGACAATAAATCTTTATACGAGCAGATAGATATAGCCTTATCTTTCTCCCACAGAATGGCTGGTGGGTTTCAACAAGCAAACTTGTGGTTAGCAGCCCAATGCCTGACCCAAAGCACCACCCAGGTTCCTGTTCCTTGCACTAACCAAACCAAAAGTCGAGTCTAACTCAGCCCTGTATAGGGTTTCTTAGACTGTAAATCTTTATGGGAGCAGATAGGTGGAGCAGCTGGTGGGTATAGACACCAAACTTGTGGTTAGCAGTCTATCGCTTATCCTACAATTCCACCAGAGCTCCTTTTTCTTGAACTAAAGCATTGGACTGTATTGCACTGGACAAATCTGCTGCAGAAGGACCTCTTTCAAGTATCAAAGAGCAAAGATGTCATGTCACTTTGAGGACTAAGGTACACCTGACCCAAGCCATGGTATTTTCAATTGCCTCAGGACTTGGCAGAGTTTTGTTCTGTTACACATTGGGCTTCTATGGTTGGAACCGACTTGACGGCACTTAACAACAACACCAACAATTTGATGATAACTAACAACAACAGCAAGGAGCCCTGGTAACGTAGTGGTTACGAATCGGGCTGCAAACCATAAGGTCAGCAGTTCGAAACTACCAGCAGTTCCACTGGAGAAAGATGAGGCGTTCTGCTCCCATAAAGGTTTACAGCCTCGGGAACCCTGTGCAGGGTCGCTCTGAGTCAGAACCGACTCCACAGCACACAGCCACCACTACCACAACAACAGCAGTACTCTTTACTGAAACAGATAGTCAAGTCTTCCTTCCATAGTAAGGCTGGTATGGGTTTGAACTACCAACTGTTAAATAGTCAAACACAAATCATTTGCATCAGCCAGGGATCTTCACACTCACTAAGATGGCTAAAATAAAAAAGGTAACCAATGATTTGTATTGATGAGGATGTAAAGGAATTGGAGCCCATTTACATGGAACTGGAAAGTGGTACAGCTGCTTTAGAAAACGGCTTGGCAGTTCCTCAAAACGTTAAATAGAGTTACCATACAACCCCTCCCCCCCACCCCCAAACCCATGGCTGCCAAGACTATTGCATTTCATAGTGAATCTAAAGAGCAGAGTAGACCTACCCCATAGGGTTTCCAAAACTGTGATCTTTATGGATGCAAACTGCCACATCTTTCTTCCACTAAACAACTGGTGGGTTCAAACCATCAACCTTTTGGTTAGCAATTGACTGGTTAACCACTGTACCATTAGTGCTTTTTAGAGTTACCATATTGTTGTTGTTAGGTGCCATCGAGTCGGTATCGACTCATAGTGCCTTATGTACAGCAGAATGAAACATTGCCCGATCCTGGGCCAACCTCACTATTATTGCCACGCTTGAGCCCATTGATGCTGCCACTTTGCCAATCCATCTTGCTGGGGGTCTTCCTCTTTTTCTCTGACCCTCCACCCATATAGTGCAACTATTCCAATCCAAGATATAGCCAAGAGAATTTAAAACATATGTCCACACAACAACTTATACCGGAATGATCATAGAAACATTATTTATAATAGCCAGATAGTGGTAACAACCTGAATGTTCTTCAACTGGTAGTGGTGGTGGTGGCGATGGTGTACCACTAAGTCAGTTCCAACTCATAGCGACCCTGAATAGGGTTTCTGAGGCTGTAAATCTTTACAGGAGTAGAAAGCCTCACCTTTCTCCTACAGAGCAACTAACTGGTCAATTCAAACTGCTGACCTTGTGGTTAGCAGGCCAGTGTATAGCCACTACTCTACTAAGGCTCTGTCCATCAATGGGGGATGGATAAACAAAAGATGGCATATGCATATAATAGAATATTATTCAATCATGAAAAAAGGATTGATATTCTGTACTGATCCATGCAACACAGGAGGAACCTTGGAAATCTTATGCTAAGTGAAAAAAAAGTCATATATAAAAGGCCAAACATTTCCTATGATCCCATTTATCTGATACATCCAGAATAAACAAATCCATAGAGACAGAAAGTTGATGAGTGGTTGCCAGGGCATGGGAGAAATAGGGACTGGGGTGTGACTGTTATGAGTATGGAGTTTCTTTTAGAGGGATGAAATGTTCTAACATTACAGTGTAGTGATGGTTGTACATAACGTGACTATATACTTGGAATTGTATACTTTAGGGGGGGATGAAATGTTCTAACATTAGATTGTAGTGATGGTTGTATAATAATGTGAATATACACTTGGGATTGTATACTTTAAATGGGTGAATTGCATGGTATATGGTACATGAATTATATCTCAATAAAGGTAATCATTATACAGATTTGACATAACCACAAGCAACACATGTCTCTCAGATGGAAAATACCCAGGACACAGCTGATGGTGCTGATGTGACTGACCTGGCAGCCAGAGACACCGGCTTGCGGGTGGTGTAGAGGGTCTGCACCGTAGACACCGACTCTGTCAAAGGCCTCAGGGCCGTGGCTGGAATCAGTGGCGAAGACTGCCCAGGGCAGTACTGCAATTTACTTTCTCGAAAATCGGCCTGGAGAAGAAAGCGCAAAGAGGGCGTTAATCTCAATTTCAGTTCCATTTTCCCACTGTCAGCTATTCCCATACAGTTCCTGTTATTTTTTAATAACTAAAATCCATCACCATTTATGTCAGCAATTTGTTGTGTGCCAGACACTATGCCAAGCACGTTACAAACGTTACCTCTTGACAACTTTTAAGAGTGGTGGTGCGCCATTGAATCGGTTCCTACTCATCGCAACCTTATATGGGGTTTCTGAGGAGCAGCTTCTGAATTTGAACCTTGGGGTTCAAACTGACCTTTTGATCAAGTGATCCTATTTCATCACACCTCAGATATCATCAGCAGTAAGATGGACCATTTTTGCATGTCACAAAGAAAGTAAAAGGTGGTCACCCAAACTTGATTATATGCACTACTGTAGTAAATATTGTGATTTCAGAGATGTTAAAAAGCACAGAAATGTGTATTTTTAGAGTCTATTTTATGGGAAAGGAGAGTGAGTGTCAGAGAAGCAGTCCATCCAAGGTCACAGAGGAAAATGTTAAGAACCAGGATTCAGAACCAGAAGTAACTGATTCCATAAGTGGTGTTTTTACCTCTATAGCAGTGGTTCTCAAAGGCTGATCCAGCATTATTTTGAGATGTAATAAAAATGCAAATTCTCAGCCCCCCCCCCCCACCAAGACTTTCAGAACTAAAATCTTTAGGGATGGACTCAAGCAACCTGTGTTCTTACAAGACCTCCAAGTGGTTCTGATGTTTGAGAACCTAGAACACACTTCCTTATTGAGGGAGGTTAGTTTAATGTTGTTTTCATGACAAAGTAAGACATGTTAATTTCTTTCATATAGAAAATTTAGAAGACATATAAAAGTCGATACATGAAAAAAAATCCCAGAATCCCTTACTATTATCCCAGTAATATATTTTACTATGTTTAGTTTTTGTTTTATACCAGTTTGAAAATACCATCTATACATTTATTTATTGTGGTAAAAAATACATTAAAAACATGCCAACTCAACCATTTTATAGGTATAATTCAGTGACATTGATTAATTCATCTCGCTGTACAATTATTCCAGCTATATGTTTCATGACTTCCTTTTTCACACTAGTTCCTTGGCCTAAACTCAGAGTAATTTATCACACAGCTTCTTAAGGGAGAAATGTTGATCATCAAATAAACAATATCTTCTTCATGATTATACATATGAGCTGCCTCTAGCAGGACATGGAAAACCAACAAAAATGCCAAGTACAGCTGTAGGTGGTTAAGCACACTGCCTGGCTTGAGGAATGGGGAGGAGAAGGCTTGGCTTTGAGGGTTGGGGCCCTGGAAGGTTATTACTGACTAACATAGATTCCTGTTTGTGTTTTATACCTGCACCTAAGGAAAGAACTGATCTGGGCTGGGATGGAACCATGCCAAGAGATTCACCACAAGACCATGAGCATCTTACGTTTGGATAGCAAGTGATATTTGCCACAGAGAGCTTTCACAAATGCTCGAGCTGTAGCAACCACATGTGCTGTCCTGCAGGTAATTCTGACTCACCATTTTCCAGGGTCATGGTAGGAATGAACTTCCTGCCCCTTTTAAAGTTCAAAATAGTTATGTGCCTTGCTTGAGCCAATTAAATGTGGACTGAGCTGCTGTGTTTCACCTCTGTTGAAAGCTGTAAGAGCCAATTGGTCACCATTTTTCATTTTTCTCTGCCACTGTGACTATTAATGTCCCCCATGGTGGCTGCTCCATTTACCAGGGTCACAGAAAGAGGGCAACACAGAGCAGCGCCCTAAGTCCACCCATGACATACAGAGTGTGTAGGAAATTCCACTTGTCATGCTATAACATGATTTAGCCTATCTTGCCTGATATAGGACTAGAATTCAAAGTGCTCTTGTTACTACAGCAAAGTGTGTAGAGATTGGGCTAATAAATGCCACTTTTGATTCCTTCTGATAAAAGAGGGACGTTTGCATTGATGGTGCAGATACAACCGTGGGTCATAATGCTGGGTCCTCAGCATAAATCAAGGCAAGTGACACCAAATTGTACTATAGTCATTCTGTTCTTCACTTCTATGCGCTCAGAGGGATTAAAAAGGAAAAAAAAAAAAAAATCATCTTGCTTTTACTTTAAAATGACCTTGAGGACACAGTAAAAATTACTAATATGATTACAACTCAACACTCGAGTACCTGTCTTTTTAATAATTGTTGAATGAGTGATTGAATAAACTCTCACTGGAACAAAATACACATCAGAGGAACAGACCAAGTTAGGAAGAAGGACACTGTGTATAAATTTGGCCACAGCAGAGCAGGGATTCCCATTCTAGATGGACCACATTGGGCATCAAGCAGAGACCTAGTTAAGAGACCTAAATACAAGGTAGAAAGTGATCTCAGTATCACACAGGAAGCCAGTTGTTGAAAGCAGGCCCTGGCTGGATGAACAGCCAGGCCAACTTTGTGCAAAGTTCCCTGGAGCTACTGAACTATACTGTGGCTAGGATATACACTGAACTATACAGTAGCTACTGAACTATACTGTGGCTAGGATATACACTGAACTATAC